GGCATGGATAGGGCTGTAGGTATAGTAACAAAAATGATTTAACACTCAAATGGCAGAGAGTCTGTAGGTGCACTATCTATACTCTATCAATAAGCTAAAGTTGTTTTGGTGAATTTACCATCTCTTTAAACTACGGAAGAATATCTGTATCTGAAAGTGAATTGAAAAAAAGATCTCTAATAGGGCTTTAAAGGACCACTTTAGGCACCCAGACCACTTCAGCTTAATGAAGTGGTCTGGGTGCCAGGTCCAGCCAGGGTTAACCCATTTTTTTATAAACATAGCAGGATCAGAGAAACTGCTATGTTTATAAATGGGTTAATCCAGCCATCAAATCCTCTAGTGGCTGTCTCATTGACAGCCGCTAGAGGCGCTTGCGTGATTCTCATTGTGAAAATCACAGTGAGAACACACAAGCGTCCATAGGAAAGCATTGATAATGATAATATGGTAGCAATGCATGAATAAATGAGGTGGAGTATCATCCAAGATTCAGTCAGTACCTGAGAGTGGTAGGATTTGCTGCAGGATGTTAAATGCAGAGCTTCACTGAGTAATGAGTGCAGGTAACAGTAAGAACTCAAACGTTAGCACATATCAAAGCATGTTAAACTTTACAAACAGATATAAAATTAATGAAATGGCCAGACAATATAAAACATAAATTATTATTTTTATAAGTAAAGTGCATGTATCATTTAACCCATTCACTACAAAGTTGTTTGCAAAAAAAAAACACCTCCAGAATCAGAGTAATTTGGTTGTTCTGGTAAGTAATGTTTAAATGAATTTCTTTAATGGAAACAAAAGAGGGAATTTTGGTTGGACAGAAAAACGTTAAAGAAAAAGTATCAAATAATAAAGTTACAGGCAAGGAAACAGCACAGTAAATAAATATGTATTGTTTAATTATAACATATGTGGTCACATTTCCATAACATTGCTCATACCATAATACCCTCATTGTAACCATGTTGCTGTTTTGGACACACACACTAATACAAGCACACAAATATACACCGATACATACATATATATGCTCTGACACATGCACACATATTCACTGCTACATACAGACACACATTCTCAGGCACACACAGATACACAATCTCAGAGACATATATACTCACAGACACTAAAGTACACTGTCAGACAAATGCAAAGGCTTGGCCTGCAGTTTGGGGAGGGGCATGTGTCCCTACTTAAACCCCCTACTCACCTTCCTCCATTCCATACATGCTTTTAGCGATCCGCATGTCGCTATTACCAGTCGCCTTCTCCTCCTTTGCCTGGTCCCTGCTGTGGTTCTCCTTACCTGGCCTGCTGCTTCCCCGCTGTTTTCATTTCGTCCGCGGTCCTTTTTGGGCTCTGCTCCGGTCAGCTGTCCATCCAGTCACCTCTTCTGATTTGTGAGTTACTTTTTTTTCTCCCCTTCCCTTGTTTCACGGCTGTCTGGCATTCGCCTGTTTTTTTCCCCGCGAACGGCATGCTATTTCGCTTGTTTTCTGCACGAAAGCCCTATGGCCGGATAGGGTTTTTCGTGCAGTGTTTTTTTTTGTCTGCTTTGGGTCCGTTTTCGGTCGGGGGCTCTGTAGCCAAGACAAGACGCTCTGTCTTTCAGTTGTCACGGTTTGTTTTAATTAGGGCAGTTTTACCTGTTTATAGAACGTAGTGGTAGTTTTTGCATTAGGCTGTCATGTTGCACCTTCTAAAACACTATATTAGTGTTTAAAGTACCTAAACAGAACTATGGAATCATTGCATTTATTACTTATAAGTAGAGATGTTGCGAACTGTTCGCGAACTTCCCGCGAACGGCTCGCCACGGTTCGCCATGAACCGTTTGCGGCGAGCTCCGGTCAGCTGACACATCCCGGCCAATCTCCAGCAGACCCTCCCTCCCAGACCCTCCCACCTCCTGGACAGCATCCATGTTGAAGCTGCCTTAGTACTCAGCACTAATTTCAGAGGTTTGGATTTAACATTTTTGGGTCAGTGGTTTTGGGCGTGTGACGGAAGCTGGCATGTATGTTTCGAATATTGCTAATTGAGCTCAGGTGTATGCTCAATTATAATCTCAGACCACAGTTCGGTTATCCTGGGACTTTGCCCAGCACCTGGCCAGATAAGGAGATTGGAGGATCCAAAACTGTGTTTCTCTTGACCGGCAATTGATTAAATAGGGAGTTATTCACTAAATGATTGACTCTGGACAGGCATGTTACGCTCTTTTATTGTACTCGCGCATTGTGTTTTGTTGCACTGCATTCTCTTGTTGGTGCTGGGACTGCCCTTTAACTTCATGGCCAGTTTACTCCAGTGTGCCTCAGAATGACACATTATGTCTTTACTGCAGTTTACCTCTACAATTTTCACAGATGATATGACTACAGCGCAACTCTACGGTAACACGTTATTATATCACCATGGCTTACCTCTGCAGTGGCATATGGTGACTTTATTTTCACTTTATCACTTCCCAATAACTTAATGTCACGTACCCACCTCTTTCAATTTCTTTAAAAAAATGTAAAATAAATAAAATACACAAACACAAATATATACCCTTATGAGCCGCGTGGGCTATACGCACATACACGCATTCTATTTCCTATTTCCATGCGTACTCCTCTCTCACTCACTTACCCTCCCCTCCTAGTTAGCTGTGGCTGGCTGTCAGGGTCCTAGGTTTCCACTAGTTGTAATTCCCCTGGCTTCTTCGCCTTAGGTAAGTGGTCCTGCGAGGCCAACACCCATCCTCATACTCGGAGGTACTACGCCCCTCGGGCCAAATCATAGTTAGTCGCCTTGCATTGTGGCATAGAGAGGGCCTCACCTGTCACTCCCATTCTATCTTATGTTTAACTGTCAATGAGAGGCCGACACCCCGCCACAATGTTTAGTGGCCACGTTATCCCCTCACACCAATGCATAGATAGAGCCTCTCACGCCGCTTGGCATCTAGTAGGGCCTCACCTGTCACCAAACCCAGTCTTAATTGTTTCGCCTTTTTGGCTTTAGCTAGTATGCCAGCCTCCTCCCCCCCCGCCCCCCCACACACACACATACATACACACGCATGCTTTGGGTCGCTCATATTTGTTTCTTTTTTAGTGGGTCTCTGCTGCCAGGCTCTGGCATACTATTTTTTCCACCCCGACTCTCTGGCTAGGTCTGGTACTCATCACGCTGTGGAGTTTCGGCTACTTCTACCTTTTTTTGAGTCCGGGGTCTTTTCCTTGCTTCGCTGCGGTTCTCACGAATCAACCTATTCCCTCCCCGGCAGCCTTTTGGACAGCTGAACTCTCAGTATCTGTCCTCCTCCGTGGGTAACGCTGTTGCAGTAGGGGACCCTGAGTACGCTCTTACTTCTCCGTTCGCGCCCCTGCCCCGTTTTGTCTTCACTACTGTCATCTATGGGGGTAGTTTCGGATTGCAGTTTGGGTAATTGGCATCTGCCACTCTGGCTGGATCCGAGCCAGACTTCCTGCACTTTTTTTCGTACGACCTGTCCTGTGCCTCATCTACGCATTCACATGGCTCTGCCTACGGCCTCTCCCGTAGCCGCTGCAGTTCCCTGTGTTTTCGGGGTTTTGCTCACGGACTTTCAGCCTGGTCGGCTCGTGGTCATTTTTTCTTTCACATCTGGCTCTTTCTACTAATGCTTGGGGTACATGTGTTAGGGCCTTCTTCTCCTTTGAGGCCCTTTTTTTCGCGTATGCTGTTACGGTCTCTGTTGCTATGTTGTCTGCAATTGGTTTTCACTTCTTTTTGCCACCGCTACCTTGCATCAACGCTACCTATCCGGTTTACAACTGCACATGAATATACAGGTTTTTTCCATTCATATGCAGCTTCATGTCGTCACACCAGATTAGTACCATACTCAGGGCATTTCAGGTTCCCGGGTAAATTTAAAATTTTACAGATTTCCCATCAGCATCCAATTAGTTCAATCACTATCTGACCTATTAGATGCCTGTCCCTATGAACCAGGCACCAACCTTCAATGTAGGGTTATAGCTGCTTGATCCAAGGATAAATCTGACTGCCTTTCTGGGGTCAAGAAGGAATTTTTTTCCCTAGCTTATTGCAAATTGGAAGCACTTCAGGATGGGTTTTTCGCCTTCTTTTGGATCAACCGCAAAGAACGAATGTGAGGAATGCTGAACTCGATGGACGCAAGTCACTTTTCGGCTACGTAACCTAGTAGTTGAGCCGTTTTACCTGCTTTCATGGTTTCCTGGGTCCCACATATTTACCACAACCACCACATCTATTCCCCATATGTACCACGTACCGTGAAGTTTTTCAACAGGCATTTTCTATATAGCTAGGCAATATAAGGTCTTGTCTTATCAGTTGTTGATTGTTCTACGCTTCTGGCATGTATCTATTTTTGCCCTCTTTTATTAGGGCAACACCTCAACCGACTTATTCCCCCCTTTACTATGCTACTCTTTGTACACTTCCTATACGGTCTTATTTGCCCCTCACACAAATACACATATACTGACAGACACACATACATAGCCAATAACACACACTGCCAAACACACACACATACACCTTTAATAACACACTGTAAGACACATGTACACATACATGCTGACAGATGCACCCACTTACCCTGCAAACAAACACACATTTACCCTGGTAGTTTAGTCATAGCGATATTTACCGCAGGACAAAGGGGGCTACTGACCTGGGACCCATACTTTACAGAGGGTCCACAGCAGCTGTTCCTTGTGCAAGTTGGAAGAAACTGGTACACTGGTCCATATGCCTTGTTATGTTACAACCCTCTGTGTTTTGTTACTTGTCTTGACCACTCTGCTCTCTGAAACCTCACACTAGAAAACAACACAACCCCCAAAATGGCTTGGAGTCCTATTTAGTATCATTATGGATGTTTGGCAATAGTGATGTCCCGAACGGTTCGCGAACGGTTCACAAGGAATCATCATTGAGTAAACTTTGACCCTGTACCTCACAGTCAGCAGACACATTCCAGCCAATCAGCAGCAGACCCTCCCTCCCAGACCCTCCCACCTCCTGGACAGCATCCATTTTACATTCATTGTGAAGCTGCATTCTTAGTGAGCTGTCCAGGAGGTGGGAGGATCTGGGAGGGAGGGTCTGCTGCTGATTGGCTGGAGTGTGTCTGCTGACTGTGATGTACAGGGTCAAAGTTTACTCAATGATGAGTACATGGCGAACCGTTCGCAAACCGTTCGGCGAACCGTTCGGGACATCACTATTTGGCAACAGTCCTGTATTTGCCGGGACAGTCCCATATTTTGGGCTCCCTTTCCTGGCAAAAACGGGTCCCAGGACTTTACTTGGTTACCTGTCAGCTTGCAATTCTACTATGTTACCTCGCCACCCGGAGGTAGTAATTAAATTTCCCTTGACCTCCTCCCATAGAGCTATACTTTGATAGATAGACAGGTGGAGGAGCCCACTCCCTTTAGCCACAGACAGTCCCAACGTACTGTAGACTGCTGCTGCCCAGTCCCACTGGACCCCAAGGAAGCCAACATTCTGCAATCAGAAGGTAGAAAACAGGAGAGTAGCTAACTATATATATATTTTTTTTATTTCTGTGTATGTCAGTTTGAATCTGTGACTGTGTTTTTGTATATCTGTCATGTATGTATATGTATTTGTCTGTGTGTATCTGTGAATGTGTGTGTATTTCTGTATATTTATCTGTGTGCCATTGTGTGTATCCATGTGAGTATAACTCACATGGATTTGTATCTGTGACAGGGCAAATCTGTTGGTCTGCAAAAAAAATAAAAGATTTACAGGTGAGAAGACACAATTGGGGAAATTTAGATGTAAACATGTCAGCAACATTTTGATAAATCTCCCATAAAGTTTCCCTGATTTTTTTTTTTCAAATGTTGAGGAAATTATCTTGATACCATTTTTCTGACCAGCTGCTCCCATGCTCCCTATAAATAAAATTAGTGACCAACCAAGTTGTGTCAGCCCTCTCCCCGAGTTCCCTCACCAAACAGGAGAAATATCAGTCTGGTAACTGTGTAATTGGAGGAGAGGGCAGCAGCTACAATGACATTAAATTCAGAGAGCTCTCTGTATTCATCTCTTAAGCTTACAGCGTGGTGGCTCCTGGAGTTGCTGGTCTGGGATTTTTGGGACTTACAAAAGGCATAATTTATAAATGAAATTAATTTTCAATAAACTAATTTAACTTGCAATTATGCAAATCATGTATACATGATAGTGGGGTATGAATGCATACTTGGCAATTGTGTATACACAAGTGCTGGTGTGAAGCAGTTAAATAAACAATTCATGTAGTACAAATTCCCCTCAAAGGTATGTAAATAGGTATACCTGGCATAGCACAAAACCATAAAACAATGCATATACTGTTGCTATGTCCTGCTATGGTGAAATATGCATGTTGAGAGTTAAACTTGTTTTACCTACACGGTGTGGTTGCTAGACTTGTGCAAACATTTGTTTCATTCACAAATCAATTCATATGAATAAAAAATAATTTCGATCCACACCTGAATTAATTGATTTGTTCAGAAAACACATAATTTCCTGAGTGAATTGATTCATTGGGATGTGGATTGAAGGTATTTTGATTCATACGGACATGATATTTATTTATGGGCAGAACTATTTTTTGCACATGTCTAGTGGTTGCTATGGTGACCACTTACAGAACATTTATTCACACATTATTGGTGGGGAGATGATAATAAAAACAAACAATACAAAAACAAGGTTGTAGATCACAACAGCTATTTACCAAAATATTTGGAAACAAGACCACAGGGCTTCTTAGAGAAGTTGATATAAGTTTTAGTTGCAGGGTGTGCTTTGTTGTGTGTTCCCCATGTATTTCATTGATAGTTAGACTCAGTAGCATCTAGATCAGTGTTCTCCTACCCAGTCCTCAACAGTCCAGGTTTTGTCAGAATCTCCATTGGAGTAAAACAGATAAATACATAAATCCTGAACTGTTGGTGGTCCATGAGGACTGGGTTGGAGAACACTGGTCTAGAGAAGTTGACATAAATATTGGTTATTGGATGTGCTTTGTTCTGCTTTTTTGTGGTACTCACAATGCCATATGCTGTGGCACGTAGAGTGGCTCCCTTGGTGACTTGTGATTAGTTCACTCTAATTGTTTCTCTACACCCCCTGGAACACAGCAAGAAGTTGTCTGTTTATATATGCCATGACTGAACAGTTAGTTAATATTTACCCTTCTAGCTTTCCTTGGAGCATAGTACAATTAGTAAAAGTCTGAATATTTGCGACCAAATATTGGTCATATATTTCCATACATTTCCTTCTAAAATTCAGAGCTTAGTCAGTAATAATATTAATAATAATATAAGTGTACTTGTAAAAACATTATCAAAACGTACATGGACTTCTTCAAAAAAAATATCAAAACAGAAATATAATTTTCCCCAGCAGGTATTGTGTACCTTATGTTTAATATTATTGGTTTTGTAATATTAAGTCATATATATATTACTGATAGTGTAAATTTTGATGGCTTATTATTAACCTAAATATTTATAAAGTAGCAAAATAATTTCAGCCAACTGAAATGATAAAAGGTAACAATAACACTCCTTTGTATCTAACCACTTAATGTTTTATCTGACTTCTCACAGGGAAAATGTAATGATAACAGAAATAAATCAACAGTTGTGAAAAGCTGACACTAAGATGACATTTTGTATGGATAGTTCAGTTTCTGATTACCACTCACTAGAGCAAATCTAATCTTGAATTTTCTGATACTTCTCCATAGTTCATTACATTCTAATCACTCATGGCCCTTATCACAAAACGCTCTGAGCTTTTTAGACTGTAACAAACCTATAAATCACAGGAAGTAAATAAACTGATGCACTCTTTTAGAACAATTCTCATTTATTACACAACCATCAAAATAGATGTTCATGCTATCTTAACACTTTTAGAAAAAAAAGGCTACATTACTTGTTAGAAAGGATTTGCCTAGCTCCTTGCCATTGAAGGGTTCAACAGATATTAGTGAAATTATTTATATAGGATCATACGTTTTCCAACTATGGGAAATCAAAGGCCCATTGTAGAAACAATAAATAATCATTTTACATATGGTATAGGTAACAAAGAAAGGGCCATGGTGTAAAAAAACATTTGGGCCCCCAACGGAGCAGGGCCAAAAGGCAGACCCTCAAATGCCATAAACCTCACACAATGCCTTGCCAGCTTTGGATCTAGTATTTGTCTATATTTACTGGGTTGTATATGTATATGAAAAATAAAACTTGTATCTACAATTATTGACACATATACATGGATACACACAATGTTGCACACTCATAGGTGCACTCACTCCCACAGAGTGCTGCTCCCTGCAGCCAGGCCCGGACTGGCCATCGGGCACACCGGGCAAATGCCCGGTGGGCCGCGGTGGCCATGGGCCGAGGCCGGCAGGGGAGGTCCCAGGATCTCCCCTGCCGGTCTATGCAGGGCCGGCGCTATCCGAGCGCCGGCCCCGCTGTGTTCCATGAAGGGCCGGTGGGGAGATCAAAGATCTCCCTCACCGGCCCACATGCATTCAAACGCGGCCGCCGGCGGGGAGAGAGGGAGGGAGCCAGCCGCCAGGAGAGAGGACCCGGCGGAGCTCTAACTTGCAGCTCCGCCGGGTTTCTCTCGCGAGATCCGGACCGTTGCTATGGCAACCGGCCGGGTCTCGCGAGAGTGAACTCTAGCCCCAAAGGGCTAGAGTTCACTAACCACGAGGACCACCAGGGATGGCTGGCAGCAGCACGACCCCCCCACGCCCCCCCCCTTCCAGACTACAGGTAAGAATAGAGGGGGGGGGGGGATATAATGTATTTATTTTTATTATTTATTATTAGTATTTATTATTAGTATTTATTAGTATGTATTTATTATTCATTATTGGTATTTATTATTAGTATTTATTATTAGTATTTATTAGTATGTATTTATTTTTATTATTTATTATTAGTATTTATTAGTATGTATTTATTATTTATTATTAGTATTTATTAGTATGTATTTATTATTTATTATTAGTATTTATTATTAGTATTTATTAGTATGTATTTATTTTTATTATTTATTATTAGTATTTATTATTAGTATTTATTATTATGTATTTATTTTTATTATTTATTATTAGTATTTATTATGTATTTATTTTTATTATTTATTATTATTATTTATTATTATGTATTTATTTTATTTTTTAGTAAAACATTAATAGTTCCATTTACCTGCCTCCCCCAATACAAAATCCTGGCAAACACACACATCACCCTCACCCAGCACCCTAACACATACACAGCACCCTAACACACACACACAGCACCCTAACACCAGCACCCTAACATTGACACAGCACCCTAACACACACACAGCACCCTAACACCAGCACCCTAACATTGACACAGCACCCTAACACACACACAGCACCCTAGCACTCACACAGCACCCTAACACACACCCAGCACCCTAACACACACACCCAGCACCCTAACACTCACAGCACCCTAACACACACACACAGCACCCTAACACCAGCACCCTAACATTGACACAGCACCCTAACACTCACACAGCACCCTAACACCAGCACCCTAACTTTGACACAGCACCCTAACACCAGCACCTTAACACTCACACAGCACCCTAACACCAGCACCCTAACATTGACACAGCACCCTAACACACACACAGCACCCTAACACCAGCACCCTAACACACACACAGCACCCTAACATTGACACAGCACCCTAACACACACACAGCACCCTAACACCAGCACCCTAACACACACACAGCACCCTAACATTGACACAGAACCCTAACACACACACAGCACCCTAACACCAGCACCCCAACACACACATAGCACCCTAATACCAGCACCCTAACATTGATACATCACCCTAACACTCACACAGCACCCTAAAACACACACAGCACCCTAACACCAGCACCCTAACATTGACACAGAACCCTAACACACACACAGCACCCTAACACCAGCACCCCAACACACACATAGCACCCTAATACCAGCACCCTAACATTGATACATCACCCTAACACACACACAGCACCCTAACACTCACACAGCACCCTA